CCCAGGCCACACGCAGCCCCAGCAGCCGGGGAGGGGGACCAGGAGGGGACAGGAGCACCTCCCATGGCAGTGTGCCCCCCTGGCCACACCGGCCCAGCTGCAGCCACTTAATTTCCGGCTTGTATGTCATCTTGCTGTGATTTATGGTTCCTCCGGGGCTTCTGGGCTGTGGATTTGCTTTGTATTTGTCCATTCGTGGCCTCCCGGCCACCTGCAACCTGGATCAGGGGCCCCAACAGTGTGGCCTCCTCCCATGGCCCATAGGTGCCCCCAGTATTGGGCCCGGAGGCCATGAGGGCCCGCAGACCAGGGAAGGGCCGGGTGCTGACCGCACACGGTAGAGGAGCCCAAAATGCTGGGGGCGCTGACCCTGGCTTGGGAAGGAACTCGTCTGTTACATTCTCTCTCTTTCTAGTTATGCAGCTTCCACACTCAGTCGCTCCATCAACAAGAATTCATGGAGCGCCTACTGTGTGCCAGGCGTGTTCTAGGCCCTGAGGACGGGGCAGTGACCTGCGGAGACAGGGATCCCCGCCCTCCGGGAGCTGATGGCCTAGAGGAGGCGACAGACGAGATCTGGGGAGGCTGTGGGCCGGGGGCGGGGAGACATCTGGGGAAGGGCGCACTGGGCAGTGGGCACAGGCCCAGAGGTGGGTGTGGGTGCGCCCAGGGGGGCAGAGGGTCCCGAGGGAGCAGGTGCCGGCGGGAGGCACAGGGGTGAGGACCCTGCAGAAGGCACCGTGGCCTTCACTTGTGGAAAGCAGGGGGGCGGGGGCTTCTGGCTGTGGGACTGTGATCAAGGGGCTCCAGGGGACCCCTAGAGTCAGGGTGGCCCCAGTCAGTCCTGATGGTGAGGGGTACTGGGGCCTTGGGGCTTTTTCTCCAGTGGAGATGGAGAGGGGCCACCGGACACCGTCATGTGATGGAGGCCTGACCCCCCAAACCAAGACAGCCCCAAATCTGACCGGGGGCCCAGCTCCATCCCAGAGCAGACGTCAGGGCCGGGGGAACTTCAGGAGCCCCTCCCCATGGCGGGGCACCAGGGCAGCAGGAACCAGCCTTGGAGGGAAATCCCTTCCCTCCGCTGGGCCCCGCAAACAGATGGCTGGCCGGGGGGGCCTGCAGCGTGGTGCCCGTCTTCCGGCTGAGGCTGGGGTGCTGGTCCCAGGGGCCTCACTGTGCCCAGTGCAGCCTTGGGAGTGAGCAGCCATCCCGCACAGTGACCATGGTCCCTGAGGCAGGGATCCGTGGCTGGCGATGCACAGGGCTGGTTCCTGAGAGACCCAGGTCCTGCCTGCAAGCACCAGGCAACACCAGGGTGAGCGCGACTGTGCATGCAGCCAGTGACAAGTTCAAGGAGAGCCCCCAGCTGTGGGCACTGGGTCCCGGTGCTGACCAAACAGGACTGGCCCTGCCCCCCTGGGAGCTCCCAGCCTGCGGGGGAGAGCAGATAAGAATCAGATTCCACTCGGGCGCCTGGTGGCTCAGTCGGTTAAGCGACTGCCTTCGGCTCAGGTCATGATCCTGGAGTCCTGGGATCGAGTCCCGCATCGGGCTCCCTGCTCCGTGGGGAGTCTGCTTCTCCCTCTGACCCTCTTCCCTCTCGTGCTCTCTCTCTCTCAAATAAATAAATAAAATCTTTAAAAAAAATCTTAAAAAAAAAAAAAACCTTTGTCTTAAAAAAGATCCTCAGGGCGCCGGGGGGCTCAGCCAGTAAAGCCTCTTCCACCCAAGTCCTGATCCCAGGGGACCTGCCCGCAGGGAGCTTGCTTGTCCCCCTCTGCCCCTTCCTCCACTCCTGCTCCTTCCCCCTCAAATAAATAGATAAAATCTTTTTTAAGATTTTATCTATTTATTTGACAGAGAGGGACCCAGCGAGAGAGGGAACACAAGCAGGGGGAGTGGGAGAGGGAGAAGCAGGCTTCCCGCCGAGCAGGGAGCCCGATGCGGGGCTCGATCCCAGGACCCTGGGATCACGACCTGTGCCGAAGGCAGACACTTAACGACTGAGCCACCCAGGCGCCCCCCTTTTTCTTCAAAGTAAATAGATAAAATCTTTTTAAAAATCCTTATAATAGCTAGCTAGAAACACCTTAAATGTCCATGAATTGGTGAAAGGATAACCAAAATGTGCTATACCCACATGTTGGAGCGTCCCGCGGCCGAGAACAGGAGCGAGGCGCCCACGCGCGCGGCCCCGGGGACGGACCCCGAGCCCACGACGCTCAGGGAGGGAACCAGACACGGACGGCCGCACGGGGTGTGAGTCCACGTGGGTGACACGTCCGGAACGGGCTCATCCACAGACGGGAAGGGGCTCGTGGGGGCCGGGGGGACGGGCTGGGGGCTGGGGCAAAGGTGGGGATGACATGGTGGGGACAGGGTTGCCTTTGGGGACGCTGAGAATTCTGGAATCAGATAGTGGAGCTGGTTGTGCAACCCTGTGAATGTACTAACATTTTAAATGGATGGATGGTGTGGTATGCGACTTATATCTCAATAACTTTTCTTTAATAAGAAAATTGAAGTCAGTTGCTAGGATTCCGCCCCACGGTCCCTGTGTAGTCGCCCCTCCCCTGTGGCAAGGGGTCTTGGGAAAGCAGCCTCAGGGAGGCTTCCTCCCTCTCTGAGCTTCGGGGCCCTCACCGTGGAAGGGGGGATCCTTAGGGCCTCCATGGTGCTCAGCACAGGTGTCCATCGTCCATCCTGCAACACTGGGCAGGGCGGGCGGGGTGCACACAGGGATCTTTGTGCTGCTCACTGGGTTCATTAAGAGGCAGTCCCTGTCGCTGGGCCCCGCTCGGCAGAATTAATTAGCCGAGAGCCTTCCCTCCCTGCTAATTGTGCCCAAGAGGATTGCGGTCCTGGCAGGTGGCACCACGGGGACAAGCAGCTGAGAGGACCCCCGTCCGTTGGCCCTTCTGGGTGGCCCCCAACCTCCCTGTATCCCTATTTGGGGCAAGGCTGGGGTGAAGGCCCCTGGGACCCCACAACCCCCGATACATGCCGTTTCCAAAGCCAGAAAGGGATTAAGAGGCAACAGACAGACCCCTACCCTGGCCTGGGCAGTTAGGGAAACGGCGTCACACAGCAGCAGAGCTCGGAGACCTAGAGGTCAGAGAATGTGGTTGGATCCTGAAAGAGCCATGACAGAATCTGAGGATTCACCAGCGCCCCCCCCCCGCCACTCCCCCCAACCCCAGCATGGAGGAGGGAGCAGGGGACCTTGATCAGCCCTGGGGCCCCGGCTTCCAATTTGCTCCTGCTGAGTTCACAGTCTCTTCCCTCCCTCCTCCCAGCTGCGCCAGGGGGGAGAGGGGGCTTATTCCCATTTCTCAGGGGGGGAAACTGAGGGCCAAGGAGGGCAATGAAGGACAGCGCCCCATAAAACACTCATCCCAGGGCCTGGCCTCCAAACCGCCCAAGAATCCATCATGATTGACCCCAGATGCTCCTCGAAGACACCCCTCCCCAGGGGAGTGCAGCCACAACTCCAAAGTTGTGGTCCATGTGCCCCTCCAATCGGGGTCAGTGGCCCCAAACATGCACGCACACCCTTGAGGTTTATGCTTGTTTTATTATAAAAAAATACAGAATCCAAAGTTGATCGTAACGGAGGGGGGAGCCCGCGCTGCCCTACGAAAGCCCACCCGGCGTGCCTGAGCCTCATGGTGGCCGCACGACATATACGTATATATAATATATAGAAAACACAGATCAGGAAAGGCGGGTAGAAATATGAAATCCATATAAATGCTGTTTGCTTCTTTAAAGTGTCGGGGGGGGTGTCTTTTTGTGGGGGTGGCCCCCACATTCTGCTTTGTCCTGTTTTCTCTTATAAACATCATTAGGTCCTAGAGTAGGGGGAGGGGTTCCGACAGACAATCCAGCTTATTGCGAAGTGTGGCTTCTACTCTAAAAAGTCCCCCCCCCCCCCCCCCCCCC